TGTGGAAAATGCAAGCTGACATTATTTTTACACTTAGTTCCTTCTTTGAGAGAGATTATTACAAGTACTATCACTCCATTATGTGTGCCAAATTATAAGGAAGTAGTACAATGAAATAAAAAAGACAATTCAGAGACTGCTAAAAACTTGAGTCAATGGGCTTCCAGATCCAAATACAAATGATGTGACCATTAAAACCACTAAATTACTAACAAAGCCAAACACAAACAAATTAGATTATACTAAGAGTGAAAAGTGCTAATTGGAAAATAGAAACAAAGGGGTTCTCAGCCATTAACTTACTATGTGACCTTATCTGATTAGTTAGCCTCTCTAGGTCTCAACTTCATTTTTTCATAGTATTGTTATTAAGTGCCATCAAGTCAGTTCTGACTCATAACTACCCTGTATAAGATTTCCAAGGAGCAGTGGTGGGTTTGAACCACCAACTTTGTAGTTAGCAGTCCAGTGCTTATTCCACAGCACCACACCAGGAGATTGTTTTCATACTGTTGTTATTGTTGTTAAGTGCCACTGAGTTGATTCCGACCCATAGTGACCCTGTATAGAGTTTCCAAGGAGCAGCTGGTGAGCTTGAGCCACCGACCTTGCAGTTCCAACATCTTTGTAGTCTGACACATTTAGTCTACAGCATCACACCAAGACTCCTTTTCGGTCCCATGCTAAAAGAAAGTCATGAAAAAAGTTACAATTTAACTCGATAGTTTAAAATATCTGAGTCTGGATTTCTATTAAAGGCAATTTTTTTAAATGTCAGATGAGCTTTAAGTCTTTTATGAATGAAGAATTCAAACAAGTATTGCTTACAGATTCAAGTTTCACCTAGCCAGCAGCTGCTGCTGACAGAATAACCTATCTTTAACAGTAGAAAACTGCATCTCTCTACAAATGGAGGAAACTACTGAGGGTGATTTTTATGGTCTCAAACATGCTGATGGAGTCCTGGTGTGGCGCAGTAGGATATGCACTGGCCCACAAGGTCAGTCTGAACTGCACAGTCAGCAGTTCAAACCCACTAGTTGCTCCCTGTAAACTCTGTACAGGGTCACAGAGTCACTATGAGTCAGAATCCACTCAACAGCACATACCAAAGGCAACAAACAGCTTTTCTTTTTTCTTGTTTTCATTTTGTTAGGTGGGAGGAAAGCAGAAGGGGTCACTAGACTTGGGAAGCAGGGAAGTTATTCTACAAACCCAGACAGGTCCCTCTCGATTGAAGTACTACAATATTAGACAATTCATTCTTCTAAGTATCTCACAACCCAAAGGAAATGGAAAGGTCTCCGGTGGCTGGGATGGGAAGAAGCCTGAACAAGTAAAAAATGCATAGAACAATAGTCTAAAGTCTTAAAACTCAAGACGGGATTCAGAACACTCTGGAAACAGACAAAGAAATAGCTATCTGTGGCTGAGATGTGTTCAATCAACCTGATTTGTGTGGTAACTCTAGCTTCAGCGAAACATACTTTGAAAGCATCTTTGATAACAAACAGTGCAAGTATACAGTATACATATTGAGGATTAAATTATATTAAATTTGCTATATATATGTGCAAGTATACAGTATACATATTGAGGATTAAATTATATTAAATTTGCTATATATATATATATCCATATATATATATATATATAGCAAATTTATATATTTATATTAAAATATATATATAGCAAATTTAATATAATTTAATCCTCAATAATGTCACCAGAAATTACTTTTCAATTTATTTAACAGAGGAAGAAACAATGGGAGAGAGATGAGGGGACACGCTCAAGTTAATCCCAATCTGAGCATCCCAATCTGCCTTCAAACCCTACATTCTTCATGTTTCAAAGTGGTACATGGCACCAGTTTTCAAGACTTACTATTTTGTCTGATCTAATACATTTTCTTTTTCAAAAAAAGCATCCCCTTCCTCCTAACTCAGGTGTTACTCTGAGTTCCCCAAACATCATTCTCCCAAATACTTATTGGGTCTTCTAATTGTTAGCGTCCTTGTCTCCCTGGCTAGACAGAATTCCTCAACAGTCGAGTCTGTGTCTTACTCCTGTAGGATAAGCACTGGATTGCTAGCCACCAAGTCAGCAGTTTAAACCCACCAGCCACTCCTCGGAAACCCTACACACAGGGTCCCTATGAGTTGGAACCGACTCAATGTCACTTAACAACATCATCTTTAGAGATGGAAACCACCACACAGAGATCTGTGGCCTCTCCGATTGCAACAATTCCATCCTAACTCTTCCTTCCACCAACAACATTCCACAAAATGGGTGTTGAGATGGCTTCCAAGGGGCCTGGCACACAATAGAAAATTAATAATTTTTGGTTGAATGAATGAGCCCTGCTGTGGATAAGCACTAGATTGGTAACCATAAGGTCAGCAGTTCAAACCCACCAGTCACCCAACAACCGCCCTCAAAAACCCTATACAGGGTCACTATGAGTCAAAACTGACTCGAAGGCACACAACAAAATAGTGGCTGGGTGGATGCAGCAATACTCAAATATTTTAGAGTACTTTACACTGCACACATTTACATACAAAATCCTATAAAAACATAAAAGTGAATTTGACAGTAATGATTATTATGTTTCCTCTTTCTGAAACGTGGTTTATCTTTCACAATTTTAGAAACTTACTCAGAGGCACGTAACTAGTAAGTAGTAGCCTTTCAATTTCAAAAATTGTCCATAAAAGTGCATTACTCTCTTGCTTTTCATTTTCATCTCTCTCTTTTCAAGGTAGCTGCTGTGAACAGACTTGTTTCCGGCTATGAGGACATGAACGAGTTGTTTGGTATTGCCCTGTTATGGTTTCCTGTTGTGAAATATGAGACTTTTGAAAAGTTTGTGTTACAGGAAACTTAACTTAATTAACTGTGATAAAGGAAACAGACACAAACACCATGTGAAATTCTGCAGATTCTACTTCCCAGTGCAGGAGTTCTGGTGTGGCACTGTGGACTAATGCGTCAGACTGCAAAGTCATTTGAACTGCAAAGTTCGTGGTTCAAGCTCACCAGATGCTCCTTGGAAACCCTATACAGGGTCATTATGGGTTGTAATTGAATCAACGGCACTTAACAACAACTTTCCTGCCCAAGGACCTCTGGTAGCATAGTGGTTATGAGTCGGGCTGCTAACCTCAAGGTCAGCAGTTCGAAACTACCAGCCATTCCAAACTACCAGCTGTTCCATGAGAGAAAGATGAGGTGTTCTGCTCCCATAAAGATTTACAGCCTCGAAAACCCTACACAGCAAACTACCACCACCACTTTCCTGTCCACATGCAAATGTAGCCAGTCCTAGGTTTTTCCACTCATCCAAACACTAATGAAGCAGAACACAGCTAACCTTAATTTCTGAGCCTGTAAACTCATCCATCAGATTTCTGAACTCAAAGGCTGAAGGTAGACTTCAAGTTCCACACATCCTCTGGGTGAGGTATACAGAAAGTGAATGGATTTCAGTGCCAAGAGTTAAGCACCTTGTTTACTAAGCAGAGGAATCCCCGACTACACATTCTTCTGCCTTGCCCAGTAATGCAAACCCAGAAGAAACTCACAAACTGTGAAAAGGGAGCCAAAGATATATAACATGTGTATGATGTACAGACCAGTTTTGAAAGTGGCAAGCTCCCTTCCATGGTCAAGCAAACATTAACAGCTAAAGTCTAGCCAACCAAAGAACCATACAGCTGTTTTAAAGGTGTTTCTCTTTAACACAGAGCCATTTCTAACAGGTAAGGAAGGGTAGCTGCCCTGGGGATTCACACCACCCTCAGCTCCCATGAAACCACCTCACCTTCCCCACTCTATATTTTCCCTGTACTGAGAGTCCTAGTGTGGTGCTGTAGGATAAGCACTGGACTGGTAACCACAAGGTCGGCAGTTCAAATCCACCAGCCACTCTCGGAAACCATATGCAGGGTTGGTAGGACCGACTAGACAGCACACAACAATATTAAGACTCAAAAAGGACATATGCACACCCAAGCACGTGCAATTTGTTCAGTATCGCCTCACATTATCAAGCAAAAGCAAGGGGAGTGAACTCAAGGCAGTTCTTAAAATTATTAGGCACTCTATCCTTAACCCCAAATGCTGATGAAAGGAGACAGTCTGTTTTCCTAACCTTAAGAGGAGAATTAAGTGAGTGGTTTCCGCCCCCATGGCGAAGTCAGGTGACACATAACAACCAGCAGCCTGGGAAGCCAAGGCCTCGGTTTTATTGCTAAGGGCAAAGTAACTAGCATTAACTGAAGCACTTTGAGCTTTTCACAGTGCAGGACCCTTCTTTATCAGGACCCCTCAACTGTGCAGCGGAACCGCTGGGGTTGAGTCCCGTGATAAGGCTATTCTTCAGTTTTAAAGAAAACTGCACGCGATTTTAAAGCCTTACCTTAACTAACAGGAGGCGAGTGGGGGTGGGGAGACCCTCCAAGCCATGGGAATAGTAAAGAGACAAAGATCACCCCAAAGTACACGCGCGCAATCAGGCCAAGACTCCGCAAAGCACATTCCATCAGCTTGTTCACTGGAGTCTGCTTCCTGTGGGGCTTATTCTCCCACCTCGAAAGTTTAAGGCTGTTCACACCGACTTTCAAAGGTCCATTGTTCCCTTCCTCATAAATGTAAGGGAAAAAACAGAGAGAGAGAGACAAAGAACTCAAGAAGCGGTTTCCAAGGACTCTTATGCCTAGGATTTACTCCGGGGGAGTCCGGTTACTACTTATTCTTACTACTAATCCCAAGAGGAGAGTCCCGGAAAGGAGGCGCGCGGGAGCGGGAGGTGCTGCTGGGGGCGGGAGGATGTTTTCCATTTCTGCAGAAATGCCCAACGCCAGAGCGGGCCAGGGCGCCGGGAGCCTGGAAGGTGAGAGACCATTATCCCCAGGCTGCGCCCCGTGCCTTTGCAGTACCCCTTTGAGCGTGAGGGAGGCGGGGCGGGTGGCCGGTAACCCCTCACTTCTTACCTTCCCCTCCCCCGCTCAGCGTCGGTCAACTCAGGTGCCTACACAGAGGTCCAAAGAGACAGTGCCGAGCTCCTGGCGTCCCCCGGTCCGGATCCCAGCTCCATGGCTAGGGAGCCCCCAGAGCTTCAGCGTCCACCGCCGCTACAGCTTTTACGCAACTAGCAGCCTCTGCCTGGAGGTGAAACACTCTCCTCCCGAGAGTGACGCGCACTTCCCTCCGCCTCTGCCTCCTCCTCCTCTAGCCCTGAGCCTCTCGGGCAGCGGCCTCAGCTCGCTTTCTCCCGGAGCTGCCGCTCGGCTTTCTCTGCTCCTTTCCCTCCGAGAGGAAGAGGAGGAGAATCGCGGCCGCTGTGCGCAGGCCGGAGCGTACCCGTGACAATGGGGGATAAGGCGGCAGCGCGGGGTAGAGCGGGGTCCCAGGAGTCGCGCTTGTCTCGGTCGGCGGGCGCCGCGGCTCACTAGGGTCGCGCTCAGCCTCCGCCGGCCACACAAGCGGCCCGGCTCCGCGGGGTCGAGAGCTACGGATTGGGCGGCCGGGCGGGAGGGAGGCAGAGGGAGAGGTGGAGCCTGCGGCCGGAGAAGGCGGTAGCTGAGCCGGGCTCCTCCTGCTGCCGGAGCTCGGCTCTAGCTGGGTAAGCGGGCGCTGAGCGCCGCTCACTGCCGCGCCCGGGAACAGCGCCAGAGTGCACAGTCGGCGGCGCGAGACTCCCATGCAATGTTCTGGGCTACGGGATGCAAGATCCCTATCCGCACACGCATCATAGCTGGATTTGAGCCAGGCCCTGCGCCCGCAACAGCTAAAGCAGAACTTGACCCTGAGCCCGCATTCCCACAATCTGTGCTTAACCAGTCTACATCAACCCAGGCAGAACTTGAACCTCAGTCCTCATCAAGCCAGACTAAACATAAACCTACGCCCCCTTACCCTAGTTTGGTTCTGGCACTGCGCCCGCATCACCCCGGAATGAGTTTGAGCCTGCTGCCTCATCATCCGAGGCTGAGCCTGACACTGCTCTCCCATCACCCTAGGTTGGATTTAGCACTGCGCCCCTATTATTCCTGAATGACTCTGATCCTGCGCACCCCACTTTCAAACATTTGTGTGCGTTCAGCTACCGCATCACGGCTGCCCCCACCTGGACAGCCACGGACGCTGGGTTCTTTGCCCTTTCGGAAGAACCAAACTGCTCCAGGACCAGAGGCAGCCCCTCTAGTATCTGGGAGCTGCACTAGCCCCCAGCTCTCAAACCAAAATAAATATACGGATGTCTCTTCCACGCCCCCTTCCCGCGCCTCTCTGGAGTGGTTGCCACTTGCAAGGGTGGTGCTTGAAAGCCACTCCCCAGACCACCCCAACTCCAAAGTACCTTTCTACGGCCAGCCAAACGGGGCTGGAATAGACTAGCCTCGACTATGCCCCCTACAGAGCTGTGCCTGTGAAGGCGCGGCCCAGACGGGATCAGTCAGACCCACGAGGTCCCGGGCTAGTGACAGCTGCAGACCTGCCAATTCCGGTCCCTCGTCATCCTCTATTTAGTTCGGAACCGGAAGTTTTCCCGCTAGGGAACTCTTTCAGTGAATAATGTACAAATAAAATTATTCAGTTTTCAGAGTTGCTTTTTTTTTTTTTTTTTAAAGTAAAAAACTCAGTCTTGTAACCATGACACACCCAACAGGCGAGAAGGGGAATTCCCTATTTCAAGGGTTTTCGTTCAGGACTTTGTAGAAGGAATCAATGTTTTCAAGTCTCGTCTGACGAAAAGAATCCTCTGGGGACACTTAAGAAAAAAATTGGACTCCCAGACCTCGCCCAATATACTAAGCTAGAGGTGCCTGGAATGTATATGTTTGGGAAGCAATGCTAGACTGCATCAGCTAATTCATTAAAACCTTGGAAAGACGCCTCCGAAATAGCAACATGCTTTAGTGTAGAGATCTTACCTTTTAGGGAGCCACTGTCCGTTCTGGGGAATCCCTGGGTGGTGCATATCTTTAAGTGTTCTGCTGATAACAAAAGGTTACAGGTGGGAACACATCCACAGGCATCTACTTCTGAAAAGCAGCTATTGAAAACCCTATGGAGAAGTTTTACTCTGACACATCTGGGGTCTTTTCAAGTAGGAATCGAGGTCAGTAGTTTAAATCAAGCTCAATAGTTAGAATCCAGGCTGCTCCTTGTGGAAAAGATGAGATTTTCTGCACCCATAAATATTTACAGCCTCGGAAACCCTATACAGGGTCTCTATTAGTTGGAACCGACTTGGTGGCACACAATCACCACCACTTTAACAAGGTCAACAGTTCAAACCCACCAGCTACTCCTCAGAAACCCTATGTTGTTGTTGTTAAGTGCCGTCGAGTCGATTCCGACCCATAGCGACCCTGTACAGGGTTTCCAAGGCTGTAAATCTTGACGGTAGTAGAAAGCCTCATCTTTCTCCCGTGGAAGAGCTGGTAGTTTCGAACTGCTGAACTTAAGATTCGCAGCCCGATTCGCAACCACTACACTACCAGAGCCCTATACAGGGTCGTTATCAGTTGTAACCAACTCAATGTCACTTAACAACAACACAACAACATAATTACCATTGAAGGAGTCCTGGTGGTGCTGTGAGCTAGACATCCTACTAACCACAAGGTCACTGGTTCAAATCCACCAGCCACCGTGCAGGAAAACGATGAGGCCATCCGCTCTGGTAATGGTGTACAGTCTTGGAGCCACAGCAGCAGTTCTACTCTGTCCTATAGGGTGGATATAAGTGGATATAATAGTTTGAATGGCAGTGGGTTGTTGTCGTTGTTAAATGCCGTAGAGTTGGTACCAACTCCTAGCGACCCTGTATAGGGTTTCCAAGGAGCGGCCAATGAGCTTGAACCACAGACCTTGCGGTTCAAAGCGACCTTGCAGTCCAGTGCATTAACCCACAACACCACACCAGGACTAGGTATGTAGTATTCCAATTTTAGAAATAAAGATACTCAGCCTCAGAAAATTTAAGGAGCCGGCCCCAGGCCATACAGCAACAGTCTATAGGAACCAAGTATGTAGATCATTCAAATGGTAAAAAGTAACCATAAAATTTCATATAAACAATTTTAATGTAAGTTTTTGCTTTAAAGCAGTCTCAGCTCCACAATCTATATCTATTGCTAGAGTTCAAAGGAAATTGAGCCTGTTACCTTCCTTTGAGAATTAAATAAACTTATTCTTAGCTATTCATATGAAATACCAACAGTCAAAGGAAACTCATGTGAAAGGAAGTTCCAAAGAAGGAGACTGACAAGAGGCCACAGGCTGCTCTGCTCAGTGGAACTGATCTCTCAACTTGGGCTCCCAGGTGTCTGCTTCTCAATGCTGCTGTCACAGAAATACCACACAGGGTTGGCTTCAGTGCTCAAAAATTTATTTCCTTAAAGTTTAAGGGGCTAAAAGTCCAAATTCAGGGCATGGGGGGTAGGGGAAGGCTGTTTCTGTTGGCTTTCGGGGAACATCCTTGTCGCAGCTAATATAACCCTGATGTTCCTCAGCTCCTTAGTAACGTCCATGTCCCCTTTGTGCTTCCTTGTCTCTGTATCTGCACAGCCCTTTAGAACTCAGAAGTGACTAGATTTAGCACACACTACACTGGAGTCCTAAGGAGCTCTGGTAGCGTAGTGGTTACAAATCAGGCTGCGAACCTTAAGGTCAGCAGTTCAAAATTACCAGCTGTTCCGTGGGAGAAAGATGAGGCTTTCTGCTCCCATAAACATTTACAGCCTCGGAAACCCTGTACAGGGTCACTATGAGTTGGAACTGACTCCATGGCACATAACAACAACAACAACCCACACTGGAGTCCTGGTGTGGTGCCGTAGGATAAGCCCTGGACTGCTAACCACAAAGTTGGTGGTTCAGTCTCTCTGCTTCTCAGAAACACTGTACAGGGTAGCTATCAGTCAGAACTGACTCGACAGCACTTAACCAACAACAACACTGATATGGAAGGTGCTCTGGTAGCATAGTGTGTTGTGAGTTGTGCTGCTAACCACGAGGTCAGTAGTTTGAATCTACCAATGGCTCCCCAGGATAAAGATGAGGCTTTCTGCTCCCATAGAGATTTACAGTCTCAGAAACACTATACAAGGTCTCTATATGAGTCAAAACTGACTCTATACTGATATGGCCGCTTTAACACAACAAAGAAAAACTTACATTCAAATGGGATTACAGCCATAGACACAAGTGTTTAAGATTCCAACACATTTTGGGAGACACAACTCAAACCATAACACCAGGAAAACAGTAGGATCAAGCACGTCCTTCCTTAAAGGCAGATCTGGGAGGCACATCCACTCCTGTGGTAGTATGTGTCTCTCACCACTGTGTTGTCCTTACCATAGGAGAAGAGAAGGCCCCAGGGTGAGTGTGGAGCTCATATTACACATTTTGCCTCCATCAATGACAGTGTACACACAGTACTCACAGTGGTAAAGCTAAGAGTTGAAGTCCCCAGTCACACTGCCTGGGTTAGAATCCAGCGTCTATCACACAAATGACACCTGGTCTCTCTACAACTCCGCTTCCCTCTTTTAAAATGGGAACACTAATGGTACGTGGAGTTCTGGTGTGGCGCTGTGGGTTAATGCGCCAGACTGCAAAACCATTTTAACTGCAGGGTCAAGCTCACCAGCTGCTCCTGGGAAACCCTATACAGGGTCACTATGGGTCAGAATTGACTCCACGGCACTTAACAACAACAGCAGTAGTACCTAGCATGTAGAGTAGATTCCTGGTGTGGTGCTGTAGGGTAAGTACTGGACTGTTGTTACTCACAAGGTTAACAATTCAAATCCACCAGCCACTCCTCAGAAACCCTATCCAGGGTCACAGTGAGTCAGAACTCACTCGACGGCACCATTCCCCTGATTGGTTGCAGATTGGACTGTTGTGCTCCCTAGGATTTTCATTGGCTGATTTTTGGAAGTAGGTCACGAAGCCTTTCTTCTTAGTTCATCTTAGTCTGGAAGCTCTGCTGAACCCTGTTCCACATCATAACAGCTTGCTAGCCCTCACTGACGGACAGGTGGTAGCTGCATATGAGGTATATTGGCCAGGAATCAAACCCAGATCTCCTGCATGGGAGGCAAGAATTCTACCATTCTACCAACGGGTCCACAATGTGTTGTTACCGCTGTTATTGTTATTAAGTACCTCGAGTAGGTTGTGACTCATGGAAACCCTGTATAGGGTTTCCAAGGAGCGGCTGGTGAGTTTGAACCACTAACCTTGTGGTTCAAACCAATTTTGCGGTCCAGTGCTTTATCCCACAATGCCACACCAGTGTTTTTATTGCGTTTTAGCCCTATGGAATTATCTATCCCCATTTTATTGATTTACATATGTCAAAACTGAAATACAGAGGGTTTGGAAATGTTATTGGGTCAAACAATGAACAAGTGGTCAAATCAGGATTTGAAACTGGATCTCTTACACTCAAATATACTCCAATATTGGAAGATAACTGTCAGTCTTTC